TTTATTTACAGTGTGTGGAAACAATAACAGTAAATCCCCGTGCTCTCCCGTGTCATGTTCTCCACTCTCGTGTGTCCACACACACCCTGTGCCTGCTGCCCTCCGATGTTCCTCCTGAGGGGAAAATAACAGAGGCAGCCATCAAGACACTTAATTCCAGTAAGCATACACTCACAGACTTAACTAAGCAGAAGACTAACATGAAATCTCAAGGAATGATCCCACGTCAGTGGGAGCTCCAAGACTCTCCTAAGTAACTCCCCTGACGAGCCCTGATCAGCGGCAGCTGTGTAGCTTCGGGTGTGGCCAGTCCCCTAGCTGGGCAACACCCACCAGGCCTGAAGGCACCTGTAAACCAGTGTACATACACACCTGCACCCACACACACACACACACACACACACACACACACACACACACACCTACAAGCATGGAAAAGAGCAGCAGCAACACCAAAAATACATATAATATCATTAGTCCATGACTGCCCAGGGATCCTGGGTCGCTCAGACCCAGGACCCTGACAATCTCCAGTTTAGGGCGAGATAAAATAGGGCTGAACTTAGCCACATTTCTTAAATGATAAAAACAAGACCGAACCAGAGATTTCACATGCCCATCCAATGTGAGAGTTGCGTCAAAAGTGACACCTAAAAGTGACACCTGATAGAGGATTTAACATACACAGAAAGAGGACCAAGGGTTTTCACTATCTGGGATACAAATCTGTCCGGAGCATATATGAGGCCTTCAGTTTTCCCATCGTTGAGTTGGAGGAAATTTGCAGCCATCCAACGTTTGATGGAATCTAAGCAGTCATTTAGAAGCTGAAGCTTAGATAAATCCTGGAGCTTAAAAGAAATGTACAACTGAATATCATCAGCATAACAGTGATAAGAAATGTCCTAAAAGAGCCCATTATATGCTGGAGGGGGAGAAGATATATTAAGAACAATAAAGGCCCCAAAACCGAACCCTGAGGGACACCACAAGTAAGGGAGGTAGAGGATGACCTAAAATCAGAGACCACCACAGAAAAAGATTGGTTATGTAGATTAGAGATGGACCGATCCGATATTACGTATCGGTATCGGTCTGATACTGACGTAAATTACTGGATCGGATATCGGAGAGAAATAAAAAATGTAATCAGATCCATTAAATATCAAAAAAGCACCTCACAAAACTTGCGACACGGTGTAACTCGGCTCATAACCGTAGCACGTCGGAGCAGTATGCATCATGTGATAGAGCGGCTGTGTGTATTTATAGCCTCGCTACCAAACCAGCATTTCATCTCCGAGGAAGTGATCCCCGAGAGAAGTAAAGCAAGTGTGTAAGTTCATCTCTGAATGTTTGTAAAGCATTCCATCGTTAAGTTTAACAACCGATATATGGAGCAACTGCCTCTTCTCTCCCCCTCCCTTTCCTGCTGCTTCTTCAATCATGAAACTGATCAATGATCAGCTGATCGGCTTTTCTGTTGCGAGTCCGTCTCTCTTGTTTGTTTTTGGCCCACTTTGCACCAGAAAGAGGAAACCAGTGGCTGAATAACAGCAGCACGTTTAACCTCGATAAGCTGTTGTTAGAATTTATTTAATATTACTTTCTACACCAGGATCCTTTTCTACGCAGCTAACGGCTGGTAACTGTGCAGGGGCGGATCTAGCAAAGTTTAGCCAGGGGGGAGGATAGGGCATTAACAGGGAAAAGGGGGGCACAAAGACATACTTTTCTTTCTTATTCTCATTTAAAATGTCTAGCTTTTAATAAATAATTATCTGAATCTTACACCCAAAGTTTTAATCTGACATAAAATATATAGAAGTCCATTACTGTATATAGTAACTATTAAGTCTAATATATCCTAGTAAACTATAGTACTTTTTCCTTTGGGAAGATACCATCTGTGCAGTCTACAGTTCTGTTGAAGAAAGATGTTGAATGTATTTAATTATTCTTGAAAAATAATTTATTTCTGTGCATTTTTTTTCCAACCTGCATCAAATTAAAGTTGATTACGTCGATTAAGAATCATGAGGTGGAGGGTGGGTGGTTCCCTATTTTTTTTTTTGCTTGCTATTAGTTAGGTTGTTTAATATTTCTGCTAAGTACTCTTTAAAATACCAGAATAGGGAGGATGGTGCAGGTTTAAGTTTATTAGATTGATCAGTATTGCTGAACTATGAACTATTTTGGGTGCAGTGTATTTTTTACATACAGGTATAACAGAATAGCTTTAGTGTTGTTGTTTATTTAAACTTGACTATGAACTTATACAAAATGCAGCAAGATATAAAAAAAAAACAGTGTTATTGATTTAAAAAAAACACTGTATCGGATTCATATCGGTATCGGCAGCTATCCAAATTTATGATATCGGTATCGGACATAAAAAAGTGGTATCGTGCCATCTCTAATGTAGATATGAGGAGAACCACTCCAAGGCAGTACCAGATACACCAACCCAATGTTTAAGCCTTTCAAGGAGGATGTGGTGGTCAACAGTGTCAAAAGCTGATGTTAGGTCCAACATAAGTAGGACCAAACATTTTCCTGCATCATTACTCATCAAAATGTCACTTGAGACCCTAAGAAGGGCTGATTCTGTGGAGTGAGCTCTGCGAAAGCCGGACTGAAACTTATCGCAAATGCTATGTTTGTCCAGAGCCGCTATAAGTTGCTTAGCCACAACCTTTTCTAGAAGCTTAGCAATTAACGGTAATTTAGAGATAGGTCTGTAGCTGCTCCAAAGAGAGGGGGTCTAACTGAGGTTTTTTTAAAAGTGAGAGAATAGTAGAATTTTTTAAAATAAACCAGAACTATACCAGACACCAGTTCAGGGTTGATTAGAGTGAGCACAGATGGACCAATAACCTGGAAGACATTTTTTCATAATGATGCAGGTACAATGCCAAGTGGACAAGAGGATGCTTTCACTGAATTCACTAGTTTTGCTAGCTCAGGTAGTGAAACAGGAGAGAAAGTGTCCAAAATGACAGGGTGTGATGAGGTGGAGATAGACATAACAGGTGCTGAATGAGAAAAGTTCATTCTTACATTCTTCATCTTTGCAAGCATAAAAGAAAGAAAACGGGGCCGCGGGAAGAGCAGGAGTAACAAAGCCACTAATGGTGTTAAATAGCACCTTAGGATTACCTCTGCTATTTGCAACCAAGTGTAAGAAATAGGCAGCCCTCGCACCTCTGATAGCATTATTAAAAGAAGCTAAAAGGTCCTTTAGGTAGAGGAGATGAACATTTAGGTGAGTTTTCCTCCACCTGGGTTCCACTTTGCGACAATCACATTTTAGACAAATACTGTATTACTAAAGTCAAATCATGTAGAAAAAGTTTAAGCAACTTCAGACCATTTTGGATGTTGATTGTGTTTGTGAAGTGGTCTGGTTTTAAATCCCATGACAGTACTGAGAGTTTTTAATTATCTTTTAACTGTTGACTCAGGATGTTCTGCTGTTTTAGCTCTTATAGATTTAGCCGCTGCCTTTGACACGGTCCATCACTACATGTTGGTCGGAAAGACACCATTTTATGGTAATTTAAATAATATTTGTGAAAGAGGTCTTTTTCTGTTGCCAGTAGTGAATATTCTTCTTGCTCTGCCCTGTGTGGTATACCACAGGGGCCTGTTTTGGGTTCTGCTCTGTTCTCATTATACATGCTACCTTTGGGATTCATTATCAAGAAATATAATATTTTCTTACACTTTTGTATTGATGACATCCCAGTTTACTTCCCATTGAAATTGGATGTCTCTGTCCCACTGCAGCCTCTTGCTGTCAAAGACTGGTTAACACTCAATTTTCGTATTTATTTTATTATCACCTCTTGATGGGACTACTGCAATTTTCCCTATTTGCGTTGCTGTGTTCCTCTCATAGTCCATGAGTTTGAATAATTCACTACTCAGTCTTTGTTCTCCTCATTTTAGACAATGCATGATCAACCACACAATCTGGAGAGGTCCAGATTTATTGTAAATATCAGAATTATCTAGAAATTAAATGTTGCATTTGAGATTTTAGCATAAACTTTTAGCATAAACCTAAGCATGATATAAACAAACTGATTAAAACTGTTTTACATCCATCTACAGAAAAATTAGCAGCCTGGTAACATGGTGAGAGAAAACTGTACATGAAATGTTAGATTTTAAAAAATACACCAGTAAAAGGTTTTACAGAAGTGTAATTTGTTCTTTTCAGAGTCCAGGGCACTGGCTCTGCCCAGGCAGTGACAGCAGGGTGCAGTCCTCAGCTGGCCGAATGAGCTCACTCGAGCTTCCAGCAGAGGACTGAGGCAGCTGAGTTAACTCACCCATGCTCTCAGCAGAGAGTGATTGCTGAGACGGCCCAGTAGAGCTCCGAGGTGAAACAGGTTGCGCTGTCTCCAGGGGTCCAGAGTAAGCTGATTCAACACACGAATGGCCTGAGGATAAAAACTCCTCTTGAGCCTCTCTGTTTTTGTTCAGATGGTGCGGAACCTTCTGCCTGATTTCAGAAGCTGGAACAGTTCGTTGCTGGGATGGGACAGGTCCTTCAAAATCTGAGTTGCTCTAGTCCAGTATCTCCTGACGTAAATGTCCTGAAGGGAAGGGAGAGCTGTCCTGCAGCAGTGTTCTGCTATACAGATCACTCTCTGAAGAGCTTTTTTATCCTTGACACAGCTGTTTCCATACAATGATGTGATGTTCTGTGTGAGGATGCTCTCCACAGTGTCTGTATATAAGAGAGACCCTGAACTTCCTCAGTTGTCGGAGGTAATACAGGCGCTGCCTAGCCTTTTTGGTCTGGACCTGAATGTGGGCAGACCATGTCAGGTCTGAGGAGATGTGGACACCGAGATACTGAGGACTGCACACTCTCCACTGGAGCTCTATTAATGATAATGGGCTTGTAGTCTCTTTGCTGACTCCTTCTGAAGTCCACCACCCCCTCCTTGGTCTTGCCGACGCTCAGCTGGAGGTGGTTGTCCCGGCACTACGATGCCAGATTCTTCACTTCATCCATGTAGGCCGCCTCATCGTTGTTGGAGATGGCGTCCAACACCAGCCTTGGGTGACCACACAGACTGAAGTGTAGAGGGAGTAGAGAGGAGAGGACACACTCCTGTGGCGCTCACGTGCTGATGTTGATGCTGTTGGAGATGCAGCTACCCACCCTCACCACCTGAGTACCGCCAGTGAGGAAGTCCAACACCCATAGGGTCAGTGCAACTGGACGGTAGTCATTCAGGCATGAGGGCTGCTTGTTCTTTGGGACAGGGATGATGGTAGATCTCTTGAAGCATGTGGGGACCACAGACTTAGCCAGGGACACGTTGAAAATTGAAGTGAACACACCTGCTAGCTGGTTAGCACAGCACCGCAGCAGAGGGTCGGTGATGCCGTCTGGCCCCGCCGCTTACCTTGTGCTCAGAGCTGAGGAGCCTGAGCTGGCGACAGAACTGGTGACCAGAGATGGGCAGTAACGCGTTCTGATTACTTTTTTCAAGTAACGAGTAAAGTAAGGGATTACTATTGCAAAAACGGTAATTAGATTACCGTTACTTTCCCATAGGAACGCTGCGTTACTGCGTTACTAAAACCGTGATTTTTTTGCGAGAATGTCTCACAACAGTGACGTAAGCGAGTGCGCCGTTAGTGACAACAGCTGTGTGCAGATCAACAATGGATCACATATCGATTGTGGGAGAGAGTATGAGCGTGCAGCGTTTAAAGCGTGGAAGTACTGACCTTACTTTGAGTTTGATTCCATAAAAAGTGACAAAAACATTAGTGTCCGTTGTGCGTGGGAAGAAAACTTCTTTTGACAGCGAAAAAAAACCCCTAAACTTCCAAGCAAGCACCGAGTGCGCTACCACGTAATGGGAAATTCACAGAGAAACTCGCGGATTCTTCAACTGACCGCGGCACACCTGCACCAGGGTAAACCCCCGCCTACTGCAGTCCTGCTTTACAGGTAAAAATAGAGCAACAGGACCGCTGAGTCTTTGACTTTATTTATTTTCTGCTGTGTTTTACTTGCATCTATTTGAAAGAGTGAGTGTAAACACAAAAAATATTTTATTTTATGTGCTGGAATGTGTAGAAAATAGGTTTAAATGTTAAACTAATTTCTTCAAGTCAGAGAATGGTGCATATAATTAAAATTTTTTGCTTGATGCATAAAGTTAAAAGATTAAAACTAATAAAACAAGTTTTAAAAAGGGACCTTTCCATTTGATTACATTTTGTATGATGGATTATGTAGAAAAAGTAGAATTGGGCTGAAAGATCTATCGCTTTATCACCTCTTCAGGTTGTAAATCGTGTTTTTAAAAAGTAACTAAGTAACTAAGTAACTAAGTAATTAATTACTTTTGAAAATAAGTAATCAGTAAAGTAACGGGATTACTTTTTGGGGGAAGTAATCAGTAATTAGTTACTGATTACTTTTTTCAAGTAACTTGACCAACACTGCTGGTGACAACACTGGAAACTGAGCTGGTGACCAAAGTGATGGTTGTGGTGGGAGTGGAGCGGGTAGTGGAGTAGATGACTGAGCTGACGGCCGGGCAGCTGACAATAGTAGTGGTGGTTGTAGTGGAAGTTGAGTGGGCTCACCGTCTTTCAAACTGTTTAGTCACAGGACGGCCAGTCTTTAATATTCCACTCACAGGTTAAATACGGAAACTACTCTTGTAGTTTCTAAACTGGGGAAAACTAAGAACTAAACAACAATCCTGAACACGAGGCGACAGCGAGAACATGAAGAAGGATAATCAGGGAGAACTGTCGGAGGAACACAGACGGACCAGTAACAATCAGGAGAAAACACAGGGCTTATATACACACAGGAGCAACCAGGGAATGAGAAACAGGAGGGAGACACAGCTGGGGTTAATTATACATAACGAGACAAGGGGAAGCAAAACTAGACTCACTGCACGTAGGACTGGGAGAATCAAAATAAAACAGGAAACAAGACACAATTCACAAATACGCGGACAACAAACAACAAATGAATAACCAATAATCAGGAAATAGAAATCAAACATAAAACACTGGGAAACACCCAGGACCATGACAAAAAACATCCGAGTTTTTTTCAAACCGCAATCAAGGTCTGAACAGAACTTGAAACTCAGCCTTAAGGCTGATGGACAGTTCTCTGTACAGCACTGCCAAAGCCAACATGAGGAAGCATGTCAAGGAAGGTAGTGTGCTTCTTGGCAGATGACTACCCCCACCAGGTGTGGAGAGACATCCAAGCCCTCTCCAACATCAAAGGCCAGAGCCACCCAGCCCCTGACGGCAGCCTCACACTTGGAGAGGAGCTTAACACCTTCTTTGCCCAGTTTGAGATGACCCCTCTCCCACACCCCTGCCCTCCTTCTCTCCCGCACCAGGCACACACCCCTGTCCCTCCAGGAACATGAGGTTAAGAGGAGACTGAGAGTGGTGAACCCCAGGAGAGCTGCTGGCCCAGACAGCATCCCAGGGGCTGCGAGGACCAACTGGTAGGGGATCATCACCAGGCTGTTCAACCTCTCCCTGACTTATGCCAGGTGGGAACGGTGTCATTCCCATCCCCACAAACCTGGAATAGACAGCCTTAATGACTACAAACCTATAACCCTCACATCTGTAGTCATGAAGTGTTTTGAACAGATAGTGTTTTCGCACCTTAGAGACTGCATACGGCCCTGTCCTGACTCCTACCATTTTGCTTACAAATCAAATCAGAATCAGAATCAAAGTACTTTATTGTGATCCCAAGGGGAAATTATGTATTGGGGATATGAATTGGGAGGAGACCTTCACCATCACACTTCAGAGAGCACTGAGCCATCTGGAGAACAGTAAGAGTTATGTGAGGATGCTCTTTGTGGACTACAGCTCAGCATTCAACACTACAATCCCAGACATCCTTGCCACCAAAGTGGACCACCTTCAGATGTCAAGTATGCCGATGACACCACCATAAGCTGCTGCTGGCCTTCTACTGTGAGGAGTGGTAGAAGTGGAGCAGCTCTCCTACTGCCTGGGTATTTGAAATGCAGAGGCCACGACTGACAACAGGAAGGCTGCACAAAGGGTAAATAACACTGCCCAAAAAATCATTGGCTCCCCTCTGCCATCCCTGGAGGCCATCACCAGCACCTCCTGTTTCAGGAAAACCAGGGCCATCACAGGTAACCCCTTGCATACTGCCCACTACCTGTTTCACCTGTTTGGCCTGGTTCTCCTGGAATTTCTTCCTGTTAAAAGCGAGTTTTTTCTTCCCACTGTCATTAATTTTATCTTGTGCTTTTGTTTTATTGTCCTTCATTGTGTCATTGTTCTATTATGTGTTTTATCCTATTGTACAGTGTCCTTGGGTGTCTTGAAAGGCGCTTTATAAATAAAATTTATTATTATTATATGATTTTTGGGGTTTTCTCTTCTTTCTCTTTCTCTTCTTTCTTCTTAATTTTCTATCTGTGTACTCTTTTCAATGAACTCTCACTTCTTCCAATTTTCTTTTCAGCAGAAAAGAAAAATAACCAGCTGTTCTCCACAGAACCAGCAAAGGTGTACTCTCAGTGGCAAGGGAACAATAAGAGAACAGCACCACCAAGGCTGGAGACGGAGCAATACTGGAAGAGCATATGGGAGAAGGACGCAACCCATAACGGCAATGCTCAGTGACTAGTGGATCTGAGGGCAGACCATAGCAACCTCCATGAACAGGGTCCAGTAACCATCATGGTGGCAGACATCCAAGCAAGGGTCTCTAGTATGAAGAGTTGGACAGCACCAGGCCCCGACATGGTTCACGCCTACTGGCTGACTGCACTCCACGAGCGTCTGGCAGCACAAATGAACCAGCTGCTAGTGGACGAGAGACACCTGGAATGGCTAACCGAAGGTCGGACGGTCCTGATCCCCAAGGACCCCAAGAAGGGACCGGTCCCATCCAACTACCGACCAGTAACCTGCCTCAGTACTACATGGAAGCTCCTGTCAGGCATCATATCGGCTAAGATGAAAAGGCACATGGGTCAATACATGAGCGGGGCACAGAAAGGGATTGGCAAGAATACCAGAGGTGCAAAACACCAGCTACTGGTAGACAGAACAGTCAGCCGAGACTGCAAGACCAGGCTGACCAACCAGTGCACTGCCTGGATTGATTACAAGAAGGCCTATGACTCAATGCCCCACAGCTGGATACTGGAATGCCTAGAATTGTGCAAGATCAACAGGACCCTAAGAGCCTTCATCAGGAATTCAATGGGGATGTGACGTACAACACTAGAGGCCAACTCCAAGCCCATAGCACAAGTCACCATCAAGTGTGGGATCTACCAAGGAGATGCTCTGTCCCCACTGCTGTTCTGCATAGGCCTGAACCCCCTCAGTGAGATCATTGACAAGACTGGCTACAGATACCGACTACGGAACGGAGCAGTTGTCAGCCACTTCCTGTACATGGATGACATCAAGCTGTATGCCAAGAGTGAACGAGACATCGATTCACTGATCCACACTACGCAATGACATCGGGATGTCATTCGGGCTGGAGAAGTGTAGTCGGATGATCACAAAGAGAGGGAAGGTAGTCAGAACTGAGGGGATCGAGCTACCAGAAGGCAACATTGCAGACATAGAGGACAGTTACAAGAACTTGGGGTTCCTGCAGGCGAATGGGAACCATGAAGAGGCAGCTAGGAAAGCTGGCTTTCCTGGAAGATGGCCCCAACTGACCGAGTGCTCGGTGAATACCTCAGGCAGCAGAAACCCAAGAAAGAGGAGGGATACAAGGAACCATGATGGAAGGACAGGCCCCTGCATGGTATGTACCACCGGCAGATAGAGGAGGTGGCTGATATCCAGAAATCCTACCAGTGGCTGGACAAAGCTGGACTGAAAGACAGCACAGAGGCACTAATCATGGCAGCACAAGATGCTAGCAGGCAGGGCATACATGGAACGCAATAACCAAGTGGCCGGCATAGTATACAGAAACATCTGTGCCGAATATGGCCTGGAAGTTCCGAGGTCAAAATGGGAGACACCCCCAAGGGTGGTGAAGAATGACCGAGCTAAGATCCTGTGGGACTTCCAGATACAGACGGACTCTGTATCAAAGTGCAAAGCCTCACAGATGATGTGCAGCAGTGGGTCCCTCAGTCTGTCCTCACTCTGGACACTTGCAGTTGTCACACATGGAAATCAAATG